GACTCTCTGTAAACCGCTTAGAGAGGCCTGAAAGGCCTATGAAGCGGTATATAAGTCTACTGCTATTGCTATTGCTTCCGAGGTGGGTGAAATGAGGACCCGGACTATGGGAGCAAGTTGCTGACTCAATTTGCTAAAAAATAAAATTTGTAAACTGCTTAGAGAGGGCTGAAAGCCCTATGAAGCCGTATATAAGTCTAATAAATAAATAAATAAATATTTAAGAAAGCATTCGATTATTACAACAGGAAAAAGAGGGGTAAGCCAAATTTGTGAACTCTATGTTGCTTCTTAGGAGGAATCCAATATTATTCAGAGCCTGGTGCAAAATATCATTATTTTAGAGTCCAGGATATTTTTTTAATACTGGACACTGAACAAAGGTCACAGAAGTCCCATACAAAAATTAACTCTATCCCATTTTTAAAAATGATTCCAACCCAACATAATGGTGGAAAATAAATAACACAAAGAGCTTTGGATTCTGATAATTTGTGAACAATAGGATCACATTTGGTCGGGGGAGGGGCAGGAAAAAAATGAATTGAAATATGAGCTTGATCAGGCTGGAAAATGCAGAGAAAAATAATCCAGAAAAAAATTATCCAGATGCATCTCTATAGCAATAGAATGGTACTTGGGTAATGTTTCAATGTAGCCAATTGCTCCATAATAAACCCCTTCCTTTTTTATTTCTCAGGTGCATGTCACAGGGTAGAACTATTATTAAGAGGCTGCAAACTTTGCATACTTTTTAATTTCAGAGTACAGTTTAGGATGGGGGAAAATCTTATTCTTTAAACAATTGTCCTTGTCAACCTACTATGATTGATCAGAGATTTACCAGGAGATACAGATCTATTTTATGTTTCCCCTAAGGCTAGAAAAGTAGCATCACTATTCAATATAATATGACTTTTGGCTTCTACTGTATATTTTAGCCATTCTTTCTCTTGGACATTGAATTTACAGAATTAAAATGTTTACTAAACTATCCTGGAGAAGGAATACTAATTAATAATTTATTTAATATGGCTTTCAATATAAAAAATATGTGAAGTGAAAAAGCAGCAATCCGCTAGTAAGGGTACTTATATCCGAGTTACAAAAATCCAGATAACCACTGGAGGGCAGTAAAAAGATACTAACACACAAATTATTTGCTGCCATCTAGTGGTCATTCGGAGATCCCGTTTGGTGTAGTGGTTATGGCATCAGGTTAGAAATGGGAAAACCTTGAATTCTAGCCTTGCCTTAAGTATAAAGTCAGCTGGGTGACTTGAGCCAGTCAATTTTCTCAGTCCCTAGAATGAAGGCAAAGGCAAACCACTGCTGAAAAACCTTGCTAAGAAAACTGTAGGAATTTGTCCAAGTAGTCTCCAAGTATCAGACATTAAAGAAGAAAAGAGGGGGGAGTGGGATTTTGCAGTTCAAGTATAGAAACTTTACATTAGTCCAATTTTCACAGGCACTTTAAACAAAGAACAAAGTTTAGTGAATCTCTTTTTTGACAGACAATCCTATGTTTCTCTGTCCCAATGTCCTCCAAATATGTTGAATCTCAGCTCCCCACATTTCTACCTAGGTTACACATGGAGTTAGGGAGAAAAAGTCCAACACATCCAAACTCTTCAAGACTGGAGCAAGAGGAAATAAATCACAATTGGTCACCTGTTTTCTCTGATGCTCTGAACTAGTGAGGTGGCTCTCTTATTGTTAATATTCCTCTGTCTGTTGGTTTCTTAGTTTTGTTTTTATATATGCTTTTTAATTATTACGTAATAATTTTAGATGATTGTTTCATATTTCTACTGGTTTATTGGATGGTTGTACACCATACAGACTTGCTTTATGAGAAATGGGCAGTCATATAAATTTGATGGAATAGACGGATACTTTTCAAATTACAAAATTCCATTTCAGACATCCGGACTCGGGATCCTTCTACATGGAAGGGAGATACACGCAGGGACCCACTCCCTCTAGGTCTGAAACAAAGGCTTAGGCTCCCAAAACTATGACTCCTCTGAGCCTAGGTGGGGAAGCCATATTGAACATTAAACAATGAGTTCTCCATTTCACTTGCATAAACTCAGCCACAGAGGATGGCATAAAAATCATGCCTTCTGAAGTTCCTCCAAGAACCCAGATGCTCACTGAGCAACCTGTTACAGGATTGGATTA